AAATTTCTCTTCCACTCTGTCATTCTGTTATTCTGTTTTAATGTCTCATATAGCATTTTGTGAGATTTCTTGCTCGGTATAAATTGTAGTGCCCAAGAGGAAGGTAAGCTTATGTCTAGGATCTAAAGTATATAATATGTTATTTTGCAATGACTTCAAATTTTTTCTTTCAGGTTACTACAGAAGGAAAAGTGAAAGTTATTGATCGCATCGATGCATCAGGAGCTGGAGATGTTGATACATCCACAGTTGTTGAAGCCACAGATGGGGTTATTGCAGGCCTTACAGGTCGTAAACTGAAAGTAAGTTCCGGTTTGATCGTGATGTTTAGATTTTATGGAAAAAAAAAATCACATATATTTTAATGCTAATGTACATAACTCTCTGATAGGTTCCAGAATCCTGGGTTAATCCATCAGGGAAGTTCCACATAGGCGTAAAGAGTGCCTATACTCTCTACCCTCAACGTCTGAGAGAGCGAATTATTAAGGAACGCAAAGAGAAGCAGTGGGACCCTGTTCACAAAATTTTGTTGGCAGAGGCACAAAGAAAGTTGCAGGTACGCTCTTCGTTTTGAAATGATTGGTCATTTTCACTTGAAATTAAACAGTTTACTCATAAATATTACTCACTTATAACTTCAGGAAAGGTTAAAGGCTATATTCATTATGATATTTTTAATTCAAGTTGGTCTGTAAGTTTGTTATGTGTCATATAACATATTTTAGTTTACAAGGATTTTGAATTTTTATTAAGAATAGTTGCCAATTTTCAGTTGCTGAAGTAGTTGAAATTCTTATATATTGCCAAATAATAAATTCATTCAGGAGTGTGGTGTGCTATATCAAACTTTTTTTTTTCAGTTGTTGGAGAATAATAAAAGCAATGGTAGCAGTAATGGAGCCAGTCCTAATAGTTTGATTGATAAAATGACAAAAGAGGATGCTGAAACCAGGGTGTCACTGCTTAACAGCTTGGAGAAAAAGTACAATGACCTGGGACCAGCTTATGATTGTGTCTTGTATCATGACGGAGATGTGTGGAGGTAAGTTATCAGGTATACAAAATGTGGAAGAATATGCAGATGATATGTGGATGGAGAGAGTATAGTCCATGCAGGGATCATCATCATCAACATTATTATTATAATGCTATTTACTGATAATTACAATATATGAAAGAAGGAAAGAAAAAATCAGATTGAAAATTAAGGAAAATGTTAAATAAGTAAAATAGGTAGAACTAGTAATTTACTAGAATGACTAAGTACTTGTGGTACCATTGCTTGATAAATTAAAATCACATGGCACATGCCATCCCCTGTGGCAATGGATTAAGGAAGTGGAAATCTATTTTATAGTGGTACTGTACTATAAAATTAAGAATATGTTCAGTGCATAGAAGTAAGTCCAGACTTGATTAATGGTTTTCAAATATAATGACCGTTTTTGTTCTCTATCCTAACAAACAAATTTTGCAGGGCTTGTATTGATACATCGGAACGGGGAGAACTGGAATCTGGAATTCATCTAGGGGAATATAGAATTACTCACCAGTGGGCATCGCTTACATCAGCTGACCAGTACAATATCTCTATAAATGTGCACAATGATGGAAATATTCTTGAAATTGTTGGAATGTGTTGTAAGTATATGAATTTGATGTTTGTGCATGAACAACTTTGAGAACATAAATGTTATACTTTTTTAAGATGATAGTGTTATACTTCTCTAAATTGTAATGTTATATTTCATAATTCATTGGATCCAGGTGACACAGACATATTGCCATGAAAAAAATGGTGGGAGGATAGACAACAGGAAAAGAATTTAGCTACAAGTGATAGGAACATATTGTCATGGGAAATTGTTGTTAAGTTTAAGGTGAAAGGGATATCTCATCTTGAGTATCATCATAGAAAAAGATTTTTGCTACATTGTTGGGAACATATTGTCATGGGAAATTGTTGCCGTTTAAGGTGATAGGGATGTCTCAACATGAGTACACAAAGCACTTGGAATAAGACTGACTCAGGAGGCCTCTTAGAAGGGGCTGGGTTTGTGAGGATCTGCAGATTTTTCACTGGTTCATGAGGGTGACCTTTACTATGCATAAACCATGTCAAGGAGAGGGTCATTTCCAGGAAGGACACTATGTCTGCCTGCAGAAGCTATTTCTGCCCACTGTTACTAGTGGTATAGGAGTGTGTTACAGCAAATTTAATAATGTGAAAATAAAGGAAAAAACAGATACCACAATGTAATTTATTGCTGCTGTTAGTACACAGAGTGTAAATTACCATAGGAAATAATATGGAATCTGTTCACCTATTATTACCTTGATACAGCTTAACAAACAATAGATATAGACCATGGAACATAGCAAAACAGCCAAAACACATCCGTTGAAAAGAGATCTAATAACATAGTAAATAGGAGTCTTGATTTTATGCATGAGTGTTCATGTAGGCCAGACATATAAGCCACACACCTAAGAGGGTCACCACTCTAGGATGCTTAATGCCTGGATGTTGGTCCACGGGTTAATGTTATATATAATTGAAGAAAATCCAATGTATGAACATATTACAACATTATAATTTTTTTCCAGCAAGTCATGGTACGCATGTGGCTTCCATCGCATCAGCTAATTTCCCTGACGCCCCAGAGAGGAATGGTGTTGCTCCTGGTGCTCAGATAGTCTCTATAACTATAGGTAAGAACAAAATGATCATGTTAATGATATAATAATGATAATACAGATGTGTCAATTTTCTTTGTTTTTCAAAGTACAGTATTGGTATTGTGGTACTTCCAATATAGGAATCATGTCCTTATTTGATATTGTAATATGGATAGAAAAACATGAGACAACTTGATGTATTCAAGTAAATGACCATTTTCCTCAAATCTTCAAGACTTTTCTTTAAACAAGTATCCACTGTGGTTTTGTTCCATTTAAGGAGTCAATTACTAGGCTTATTTGATCTCACCTATTTACCCATTTCCTTCAATGATTGTGAATTTAAATTTATAATTATTTATTATTATTATTATTATTATTATTATTATTGGTGTCATTATTGCTAATCCCTATGATCCAGATGATGTGACCATCATATCTTGAAATTCTTTGGCTTGAGGGATAGGTGACATCAACATGCCTTCATGGGAAAATTTGGCTGAGGGCTGGGGTGACGGGAATTTGCTGTCATGAGAATTTAGGCTGAAGGCTGGTTTGAAGGAAATGACTTGCCATAAGTGCAGAAAGATCTTGTAGGGTGATTAAACTGAGTGGGCATTTAGGAAGGGGCTTTTGCATTGTTTCCCTTTGTAAACAAGTGTGGAATGTACCATCTGTGAGCCATGACTGGAATACCGCCTGCTCCTGGGAGGATGCTATTTCAATGCTCAGGATCCTATTCCTGCCCCTGTGACTGGTGGCAAGCGTTGTATTACACAAAAGTATAAATGCAAAATGTTACTTAGAGAGATGATAATGGAGTCTGTGCAAGGAGAACAGTCTATTAAAACTGTGATAAAGCAAATCAAATAACAAGATAGACATGGGAAAAATGTCAAAAAGCTTAAAATATTTGTGCAGAAAATATGAAAATTACATTATAAAGGGGAGGCATGGAGTCTTGTCATTGCACACAGTGGTTGGTGTGCACCTGGCCTACAAGCCAGACATCTATCAGAGTGGCTGCTCGAGTAAGCCTAATACCTATATGTTGGGCCTTGTGTGGGTAGTGAAGCATCGAGATCCAAGGGATTAATAATAATAATTATAATGATGATAATAATAAAGGAATTGAAATTAAAACATTTTCCTCTGGAAATTAAAGAAATAGTGTAAACAGGTGAGGTCTACTAATCAACTTTTTGGTCACTAAGTGCTCATGGAGCCAACTATGTGTATACAAACAAACAGACAAACAAAGTCTACAGCAAAAATAAGTGCATGTACCCAGTGCCACATCATTAATTAATGTAACCTTGGTGGTCTCATAATTAGCATATATTAGTGATGTATTTAACAATAATGTAGATTCTAAATCTAGCTCATGTGATTTAAGGTGACAATCGTATTGGTAGCATGGAAACTGGCACTGCACTAGCCAGAGCTATGATGCGTGTGATGGAAAACTCTTTCTACAAAGTAGATGTCATCAACATGAGTTACGGAGAACATGCTCATTGGTCAAACTCAAGGTAAGGAAGTTACTTTTGTCTACCAGAACCACTTTTGCTTATGCAGTTGTCTAAGGACAAATTGCTACTGGTAAAATAGTAACACCTCTGAATCTTTGACATGCAGAGGTTGTAACATTGAGAATTGTAATAGAATATGTAATATTAACCTTTACAAGTGTCCTCCTCTTAGAATAAGAATTAGCATATAACTATGATAATAATTATCTGTGTTGGCATTTCTCGCAATAACTTAACCCCATCCACATGGGTCATGTACAACCGTCATAACAAACCACCTAGTCTGTGGGGTATGGCTGTATGTGCAGCGACGCACCAGAGCGTGTGGAGCAGGAAGTTCCGCTACATGTAGCGGACTCCTGCCCCCAGTGTCTGGACGTTAACAGAAATCACCAGAGTTTATGACGCTGAGAGATTTCTGATACCCAGTCCCATTGGATTTAATAATTTGATAGATTTTGTAGGAAATTTATTTGGATTTCTCTATAGTGTTCTGCAGTCAGTTTTACTCATGTAGTAATGTATAAAAGGAAATAGTGTTGCAGAGGTCCATCCCTACCTCAGTTGGCAGCAAGTTCAGTTAATCCAGGGAATATTTGTCATATTTTTAATAACATCTCATTTCTTCAAAAGTTAATGAACTATGTATGAATTGATTTTAGTGTTAATTATGTTCAAGTGTTTTAAATTGTACACTTGAATGTATGTCTTTTTAGCTCTGGATTATGCTGAATTTTGTATTCATGTTCATACTAATAGTTTTGACAACACAGGCAATTCAAGCTTTCAGGATCTTCTTTAATTCACACTTACATATATACTTCATCCTCACATGTTATACTTGGTGTTTCCAAACCCACTGAGATCCAGCCATTAAGTACTTTTTACTTTCCAGTCGATTAGGAGAACTGGCTCACGAAGTAGTCAACAAATACGGTGTTATCTGGGTATCATCAGCGGGCAATCATGGTCCAGCCCTTGCAACAGTGGGAGTTCCTCCAGACTTCCAGAGTGATTCAATCATTGGCGTTGGTGCTTATGTGTCCCCTGACATGATGACTGCTGAATACTCCATGATTGAGAAGTTGCCTGGTAGGTTGTAGCATTTATTGTTTAGATTCATACCCTATTGATTTTCATGAACTAGATTTAGTGTGTAGCTTTACAATTTATGTTTTGCAAAAAAAAAAAAAAATTTAATGCCTGACTTACAGGATGTCCATATACCTGGTCATCAAGAGGGCCTACAGCAGATGGTGCAAGGGGTGTGACTGTCTGTGCTCCAGGTGGTGCCATCACATCTGTCCCAACATTCACACTGCGCAGTAACCAGCTTATGAATGGCACAAGGTGAGGAATTTGTTATATATAAATAAAAAAAAAAAAAAAGCCATTTGCTGCTACTAATGAATTTATTTTACTGTAAAATGTAACCTCAAACTTTGAATATGTTGAAACTTTCTCTTATCCTATGGTTAAACTTCCTCATTTGCATTCTTAACCCAATGCCGCCAGGCATGGCATGTATGTACATGCCATGCCCACTGTGAGTTTACTTTATTAATTGTTTTTACACATGGATGGGTACACTTGTACTAAGTCACCAGTGAGCCAATTACAAATACTGCCAGTCTTGCCTGCTTACCCTTTTCCTTGATTTGCAAAAGTATTTTACATGATCTTATTTTGCTGTTACCAATGTTTATAACATTATGGGGATAATAATGTCTATAATCTAAATAACACCATCAGTATTCATAGCATTAGTAATAAAAAGTTTTTCCTGTGAATTCAAGGGAAGATTAAGTCAGGTAAAGTGACAAGGTGTATAGAGACATTTCACAAAGAAAGGAATAAAAAGTGAGAACAGCATTTTCACAGTGGCATTGGGTTAATACTTTTTCATTTGCATTCTTAATATTTTTTCATTTGCTTAAGCATGACAGCAGAAGTAATATTGAAAATCATAGATAGAATATCAAAATAAGTTAAAAAGCAACTGTAAACATAATGCAGTTCATCTAGTAACCTTCAGCAGATAATAAATATGTATATCTTAAATTTTCTAGCATGGCATCTCCTCACACTGCTGGCTGCGTCGCTCTGATTGTTTCATCAGTAAAGTTGAAGTCCATTCCATATTCCCCGTATTCTGTCCGAAGAGCAATACAGAACACTGCCATGGCTTTAGATGTGGATGTGTTTGCACAAGGACATGGATTGATCCAGGTTAGTTAGACAAATTTAGGGGACTCTGAAATATGGATATTTAGAAGAAGAAAGAAAGGCAAAAAGATAAACCAAGTATAGTTTTGTACTCCCTCTCTCTCCCTCCCTTTCTTCTTCTTCTTCTGAGGGTAGAGATGACAGTAATTACTCGTCATAAGTACACAAAACTCATAGACGAAGAAAAGACTCTTGCTAGAAGGATGCCAGCTCCAGGGACAACACTACTTCCATGCTCAAGATCTAATTCTTGCCTTCCTTGACCAGAGGTGCAAGTTTTCTTACAGAAACTGAATAATACAAAAATATTTTTAAATGACACAAATTGTACAGTATTACTTGTTATTGTTGTTGCTACACAGAGTTGTAAACTGCCTAGAGAGATGATATGGAGTCTCCTCAAGTTAGTCTCTTACCATCTTGATGCAGCATATCGGATTATAAATATAGAACTTAGAACTTGTTAAAAGAGTAAAAATATTCTTATGCGGAAAAAGAAATCACAAAATTGGCAATCACATAAATGTTCATATGGGCAGAGCTTACAATCCAATAGGTTAATTACTTGTGGAGCCATGTATGTGTAAAAAAAAAAACACACACACACACACATACACATACACATACACATACACATACATACATGCACACATACACATACATACATACATACACACATACACACATACACACACACCTATACATACATACATCCCTCTACATATACACCCCTCTACGCACACTCACCCCTCTACACACACACGCCCCACTACACACACACGCCCCACTACACACACACGCCCCACTACACACACACGCCCCACTACACACACACACACACACACATCCCTACACACACACACACACATCCCTACACACACACACACACACATCCCTACACACACACACACACACACATCCCTACACACACACACACACACCCCTACACACACACACACACCCCCCCCTACACACACACACACACACACCCCTACACACACACACACACCCCCCTACACACACACACACACACACACCCCTACACACACCCCTACACACACACACACACACACACACCCCTACACACACACACACACACCCCTACACACCCCTACACACACACACACACCCCTACACACACACACACACACACACACACACACCCCTACACACACACACACACACACACCTACACACACACACACACACACACACCTACACACACACACCCCTACACACACACACCCCTACACACACACACACACACACACCTACACACACACACACACCCATACACACACACACACACCCATACATACACACACACACACACACCCATACACACACACACACACACACACACACACACACCCATACACACACACACACACACCTACACACACACACACACACACCTACACACACACACACACACCTACACACACACCTACACACACCTACACACACACACACACACCTACACACACACCTACACACACACACACACACACACACACACACACACACACACACACACACACACACACACACACACCCCTACACACACACACCCCTACACACACACACACACACACACCCCTACACACACACACCCCTACACACACACACCCCTACACACACACACCCCTACACACACACACACACACACACACACACACACACACACACACACCCCTACACACACACACACACACACACACACACACACACACACACACACACACACACACACACACCTAAACACCCCTACACACACACACACACACACCCCTAAACACCCCTACACACACACACACACACACCCCTACACACACACACACACACACACACACACACACACACACACACACACACACACACACACACACACACACACACACACACACACCTGCACCTACACCTGCATACACACACACAACTACAACTACTGCTGCTGCTACTACTACTAAGTTATGTGGATTAGTATTTGTAAATAAGCATGCCTTTAATAAAAACATGGTAAAATAGATATAGTAGTAATATCATAAAATGCATTATAATGGTGTCATTCCTTATAGGTGGACAGGGCTGTGGAGCACATTCTTCAGCATTGCAATAGCATAGAAGACAAAGTTCGGTTTATGGTTGAGTGTGGGAGTGAGAGGAAGAAGGGCATTCACCTGCGTAACTGGCTTGCCGATAAACCTGTTGACATGTCGGTTACGGTAGAGCCAGTGCTGCTTGATGACACAAGAGCTGGTGCGTATTGTGAATATTTAAGATTATTCTTTTGTATTAAGAATTTGAATTTTCTTGATGTGTGTTTTTCGTGCTTGAATATATTATAGTTTTTGTTGATATCTTAATTTGATGGTAATGGGATTTTACCATTATTATCTCTGTTTAATTGCACAATACTCCTCAGCAGATGCCAATCAAAAATTATCCTTCTGTATGGAAATGGTTCTGACAAGTAATGTTCCTTGGATCAGATCACCAAGCTGTTTACAAATGTCTTACACTGCCAGGTCTTTCCAGGTAAGCTCCAGTGTTATATATATATATATATATATATATATATATATATATATATATATATATATATATATATATATATATATATATATATATACATATACATATACATATATATATACATATATATATACATATATATATACATATATATATACATATATATATACATATATATATATATGTACATATATATATATATATACATATATATATATATATATATATATATATATATATATATATATATATATATATATATATATATATATATATATATATATGTAATGATATCTACTTCCTAATTATCTTACAAATAGTATTGTAAAAGAACATATAGGTTGATATTTTGTTTTTGACAATGTGTGTGTGTGTGCGTGCATGTGCGTGCATGCGTGCATGTGTGTGCGCGTGTGTGTGTGTGTGTAAGTTTTGCATAATTATAGTACTTTCTTTCTTTCTTTGCTTTTTCATGTTTCATCTTGAATTATTACAGGTGAGCATAGATCCTCGAGGTCTGGAGCGTGGGAGAGTTTATTTTGCCTCTGTCAAGGCCTACAATGCTAGCAATGTTGAGAAAGGAATCATGTTTGAAGTTCCAATCACTATTGTTGTTCCTGTTATTGACTTACTTCATGGGTACAAGTACACCTGGTAAGTTGCTGCACTGGTTTGAGATTTGTGCTAGTTTATTTTATGCATATTATTCGCTTGATAATATTGAATATGACTGATAAATATGAAAAGTATTACAATGATGGTGATGACATTTTATTTTTGACAGTCCAGCAGAGGTTTTCCGTGCCGGATGTGTCCGCCGTCATTTCCTGTATGTGCCAGTTGAGTCCACTTGGGCAACTGTTACCTTGAAATCGTCTCATTCTGAGAAGTGTCAGCGCTTCACACTTCATGCAGTTCAGCTGAAACCTGATTGCAGTGTGAAGACAATTGAGTTCTATAAGGTAATATTGTAGGCTGAACAACCATTAGAGATCAAATTTCAAGAGTTCACTTACTCATCTAGG